TCCTCCCGCCTTGGCCTCCCAAAGTGTTGTGAAGATTAAATGAGTTAATACATAAAGTGATTTAAATGCTGCCTGACACAAAGAAGGCACTCAATAAATAGTAACTTTTATAGTTGTGTGTGCCTTATATGTTACTTGTTTTCATAGCAGAATTGTAACATCCTGGCTTACATGTGTGAGCCATCATACCTGGCCCAAATTTAGAAACGTGTAATATGTACTGAATCGTAGTTGGCCTTATAGCACTTAATATTGTATGTTGGAACCTTCTAAACTTGGTTATGTAACTTCAACGCAAAAGTCATCTGGTATACCACACAATGTCACCTACTGGGTAGTCAAAGCGTTTACCATTTTACAGTGAGTGAGATGAAGCAGAAAGGGTACATCTTAGAAGACAGAGCACAAGGCAGCCACATTTACAGAGGAAGCAGTGAGGTAAATGTGTCCCTCTTAGAGAAGTCCCAGGAAATAGAAATTAAGCAAGGCATCCCTCAGCCGGCCATCTAGTATGTTCTCCATAAATGGAGAATAAAACCTTACAGCCTTAACCTGTTACAAGCCTTGATGGAGACAACTAAAGCAAAATGATGCAAGTTTTGCTGCAGATTTCAGGGTCACAGGGAGGTGGAAATGACTGTCAGTGATGAGGCTACATTTTATTTAAGTAGAAATCTGAATCACTATAACCGCCATGGATAGAGCACTGAACACCAACATTTCGTAATTGAACTTGCAAGGGATTCACTCAAAGTGAATGTCTTTCGTTGCCATGTGAAGCACACAGGTCTCATCAGTTCCTTGTAGAAGATACTGTCAAAAGCATCTATTTTGGGACATGCTTATGGAGTGTTTTTCCCTACAGCTATAGAAAGCTCCAACTACCCCATTTTCCTTCAGGATGAGGCTCTGCCTCACTTCCATTATGCAGTCCCGAGGTTCCTAATGAACGCATATCCTGATAGGGATCAGACACCGTTCAAAAGATTGACCTGCCTGGCTGAGCGCGTTGTCTCATGACTGTAATCCCAGCACTTCGTGAGGCTGTGGCGGGCAGATCACTTGAGGCCAGGAGTTTGAGACCAGCCTGGGCAACATGGTGAGACCCTGTGTGTACTAAAAACACAAAAATTAGCTAGGCATGGTGGTACGCAGCTGTAGTCCCAGCTACGAAGGCTGAGGCATGAGAATTGCTTGAACTTGGGAGTTGGAGGTTGCAGTGAGCCGAGATTACACCGCTGCACTCCAGTCTATGTCATAGAGCAAGATTCTATCTTGGAGGAAAAAAAAAAGAAAGATTGACTTGCCTCTGGAACAGTGGCCTCCAGATCTCTCAGATACCCTGCCATGTGATCTTATCTGAGGATTTGTCAAGAACTCTTGTTTGTCCCACTTCTTGCACTGTGAGGGAAATGCCATTTCAACTATAAACAGTGATGATATGTTACAGAAGGTCTGAATGAAGTGGGCTATAGGATCTATGTGTGCTTTGTGACAGGAAAAGTGTATGTTAAGCATTTGTAAGATTATAGAAATATCTGTGATGGCACCTTTGCAGATTCTTTTGGACTGCAACCTAGTAACCAAGTAATATATTTTTGAAAGCCCTCAGTTCTGTTTGTTTGCCATAAAGTTTATTGAGGATAATCTATGTCACATACAATTAACGTACAGATTTTAAGTTTGATAACAAATGGAACCACCACCTCAGTAAAGATATTCAACATTTTTTTTTTTCTTTTTTGAGATAGAGTTTCGCTTTGTCGCCCAGGCTGGAGTGCAGTGGCGTGATCTTGGCTCACTGCAACCTCTGCCTCCTGGGCTCAAGTGATCCTCCCACCTCAGCAGCTGGGACTACAGGTATGCACCACCACGCCCGGCTAGTTTTTGTTTTGTTTTTTTTTTTGTAGAGATGGGGTTTCACCATGTCCAGGCTGGTCTTGCACTCCTAAGCTCAATTAATCTGTCAGCCTTGACCTCTGAAAGTGCTGATATTACAGGTGTGAGCCATTGTACCTGGTCATCAGTACTTCAGTGCTGTAATTTTACAACTTTTAAAGATAATCTAATTTATTTGAATTGCTATGTATAATATTACATTGTAAGAATATGACAATTTTTCAAACCTACTTTCTTATTAATGAACATATAGATTTTCTCATTTTTCCTCATTTTAAACAATACAGCAGTGGATATTTTGGGGCATATGAATGAGTTTCTCTGTTATACGTCTAAAAATGGAGTTGCTGATTTGTAGAATATGTTTGCCTTAATTTTCTTTGCCATATTTCTCTCTGAAGTTGTAATAACAGTTTACTTGTCATTGGGGTTGTATTTCCTTAACTAGTCTTTTTTCATATTCATTATGTTTTTATATTTCCTCTTTGTTGAACTGCTTGTTCATCCCTTTACCCAGTTTTTCATAGCATTATTTGTCTTGTACTGATTTGTGGAATTCTTTATGTGTTCTCAATATTAACTCCTTACTGGTTTTATATGTTGCAGATGTTTTTCTAGTCAGAGACTTATCTTTTAATTTTGATACCTTGTGTAGAAATTAAAAATTTTTTAATGGGGTCATGTTTGTCAAATTTTACTTTCTGGTTTGTGTATTGTGTATCTTATTTAAGAAACCCTTGCAGTTATAAAGATATTTGATATTCTCAAAGTTTAAAAGTTTTACTTTTTACATTTAGGTCTTTAATATGGACTTGATTTTTATCTGAAGTAGGAGACAGAAATCTAATTTTCCCCCCATTTGAATAGTCAGTTGTCCCCAAACTATTTATTCACTAATTCATTATTTCCCTTTGCTGAATTAGCCAATTTCCTTATGTATGTATGCTGCGTATACTTCTTTACTCTCTATTCTGTATATTGTTTGTCTATTCCTGTGCCAGTGTTCCATTGCTTTTATTACTTTAAGATTTTTTTTTTTTTTTTTGGTGACGGAGTCTTGCTTTGTCACCCAGGCTGGAATGCAGTGGTGCAGTCTGGGCTCACTGCAACCTCTGCCTCCTGGGTTCAAATGATTCTCCTGCCTCAGCCTCCTGAGTAGCTGGGATTACAGGCATGCACCACCATGCCTGGCTAATTTTTGTATTTTTAATAGAGATGGGGTTTCACCATATTGGCCAGGCTGGTCTCGAACTCCTGACCCTTGGGTGATCTGCCTTTCTTAGCCTCCCAAAGTGCAGGAATTACAGGCATGAGCCACCATGCCCAGCCTACTTTTAAGTTTAAAGAAGGTTTGATATCTGGTAAAGATTGCCCCCTTCTTCTTCAGAATTATGCTGACTCTTCTTGATCCTTTGCTGCTCTTTTTGAATTTTAGGATCAGTTTTTCCATTTCACTAGAAACCAACAATTATCAAAAAACTTGAGATTTTGTTTCAAATTGCATTAAGTTTGTAGATTAATTTGGAGAAAATTGGCATCAATGGTTTTGAGTCTTATTGTCTACTCATGATATATTTTTCTGTTTACTTATGTCTTTTTTATATACTTCAATAAAGTTCTGTATTTTTCTCTCTAAAGTTGTGTTTTAAAGAAACAGCTTTATTGAGGTATAATTTACATACCATAAAATTCACCACTGTCTAAAGATCTTGCATATCTCTTGTTGGATTTAATACTAGGTATGTTTTAGTTTTTATTCTAGGTTCCTTATGGTTATTGTGAGTAGCATCTTTGCTTTTGAAAATTTTTGTTATTGGTACATAGGAAACTTTTAACCTATTTTCTTGGTTTTGGCTGGCAGGAAAAATTTTTTTAAAGAAACTTCAAAAGGACTGGGGACTTTTTATTTTCTGTCATGAGCTAGGATAGGAGAGAAAACTTCACTGCAACATATGATGGCTTGAAAGCCCAGTCCCAGGAGCTTGAAGAAGATAAAAGCAGTGATAAGGAACCCTCCAAACACTTATGCTAAGTGTTCACAGTGGCAGAAAGAAGAGTCTGTCCCTAACTCTTCTCTTCCCTTCCAGTTTATCTATGGCATCACTCTTTATTTATACATTCATTTATTTTTTCATATGCTTTTAAGTTAAAATACAGAGTTCTTACTATACACTAGGCACCGTGTAGGCATTGGGGATGAAAGTTTTTAATGTGTAAAATTAAATTTTACAAAAGAGTACTGAGAAAAATATAAAGACGGCAAGTTGGCTAGCCTCCCAGCTAGGCTGTCAAAAAACTATAACACTTCACACAGGTTTTTCTTATATATTTTTGTATTTAAGCCTCATAGGTATCATTATTCTCATTTTTATAGGGAATGAATGTTAAGTAACTTTACTGATCAATTTGTTTTTGACAAAAAATAAATTAACTACAAAATATGATTTTTAATTGCTTATAAAGTGCCTTTGATTTTGATTCCTTTTGTGTAAATCTTAATAATTTTCTTTGTCTTTGAGCATTGCATAAAAAGGCATTGTATAAAAGGATATCTGTCTCCATATTTTACAAAAGAATACTTCAAGAGAACCACTTCAAAGTCAGTCCAAATGTGTAGTGGTACACCTCACAGCAGCCATCTCAGTTTGTGGGAACCTCCTGTGCCTTGTTACTTTTTAATATAAGTGAAAGCTTCTGATAGGCAGACTATGAGAAAATCATCTGGGACAGAAATTGAAGACATGCAGGAAATCTGCAGTGATTGTTTCAGCAATGACTTAAATTTCTACGCTTAGATTTATTTTTTATTTTAATTCAAGCTATTCTCTTGAAGATTCTGGTCACTTGATCTTACTTTTTATACTCTTTCAACTATTCTGGAATGTATTAGGAGATTATGAAATTCATGAAAGATTAACAATCGAGCTTTTTTCAATAGTCTAGGATTTGGAGTATGATTCTCTATGAAAGGAACTTTTCTTCACGCAAAAAAGTTTCAGAGAGGAAATGTTACTCAAACTAAACATATTTAATAAAGCTGATACTTGCATTTCTCCCTTGTATAGATAAAAAGTCATTTAATTTTTTTCATTTTGTTTTAGTCACTGTATATATGGCTTATTTCCTGGGTCCACGGGAAGCATGAGTCTGTTGGGACTTGGGGCAAGAAGAAGACAAGACATCTTAACAAGGAAAACCAAGCACTAAAAAAAGTATCCCCCCAACTCTGAAGAGATAGAGCATAAACATGGCCGACAGTGGACTTAGGGAACCTCAAGAGGGTAAGACTGATTTGTCTAGCACTGAGGGTGCTGCTGTAGGAAACCAGGGCTGTGCAGAGAGAGAAAATCTCTGACTAAAATCTGAGGTTTTGAAGTAAAAAAGCTAATTCAGTGGATTCATTTGTTTTTATTATACTTATTCTTTTAAATTTACTGAATTTTACTATAATGTGAACCCTAATTATAATATAAGGAAAATAAATGTTTTAGAGACTCTAATAGTAGGGACTTACAGTAATAGAAAAATGCAGTGCTCTATTTAGAAGGGATCTTTCTTTCCTTTTCTTTTTTTTTTTTTTTTTTTTATGTCACCCAGGCTGGAGTGCAGTGGCGTGATCTCAGCTCACTGCAACCTCCGCCTCCCGGGCTCAAGTGATTCTCATGCTTCAGCCTCCAGAGTAGCTGGGATTACAGGCACCTGCCACCACACCCAGCTAATTTTTGTGTTTTTAATAGAGACGGGGTTTTGCCATGTTGGCCTGGCTGGTCTCGAACTTCTGACCTCAAGTGATCTACCCCCCTTGGCCTCCCAAAGTGCTGGGATTACAGGCATGAACTACCACTCCTGGCCTTAGATCTTTCAGTTATAGGTAAGAATTAAATTTTAGTTCATCCTGCTTATATTTTATATAGGAGATAAAGGCAAAATATGAAATAGATTTTCCAGAAGAGAAAGAGGACATTTATTTAAAATCTTTGTTATGGGAGTTAAAAAATATATTAAAGTAGAGGCCAGGTGCGGTGGCTCACGCCTGTAATTCCAGCCCTTTGGGAGACCGAGGCAGGTGAATCACATGAGGTCAGGAGTTCGAGACCAGCCTGACGAACATGGAGAAACTCCGTCTCTACTAAAAATACAAAATTAGCTGGGTGTGGTGGTGCATGCCTGTAATCCCAGCTACTTGGGAGGCCGAGGCAGGAGAATCGCTTGAACCCGTGAGGTAGAGGCTGCAGTTAGCTGAGATCGGGCCATTGTACTCCATCTAGCCTGGGCAACGAGAGCGAAACTCTGTCTCAAAAAATAAATATAAGAGTAGAATAGTATAATGAACCCCTATGCACTCAACATCCAGCTTCAACTGTTACCAACATAATGCTGATCTTGTTGCCTGCCTTGGATTATTTTAATGTACATCCATGATATTACATCATTTTATTTGTAAATAGTTTACATCTCCTAAAGATAGATTCTTCGTAGATTATTTTTTAAAAAATAACCAAAATATCATCACACCTAAAAAAATAGACTAACAATTATTCCTTCATGTCATCTCATATCCTGTCATTATTCATATTTCTCAAAGTGTCTCATAATTTGTTTTTTCTTGACAGTTGGGCCACACATTGCATTTGATTTCTTATAGCTTCTAGGTTGTTCTTTTTTAAAGTTGTATTATAGAAAATTTTAGGGCCAGGCGGGGTGGCTCACACCTGTAATCCTAGCACTTTGGGAGGCTGAAGCAGGCGGATCTCAGGTCAGGAGATCGAGACCATCCTGGCTAAGACGGTGAAACCCCGTCTCTACTAAAAATACAAAAAATTAGCCGGGCGTGGTGGTGGGCACCTGCTACTCAGGAGGCTGAGGCAGGAGAATGGTGTGAACCTGGGAGATGGAGCTTGCAGTGAGCCGGATCGCGCCACTGCACTGCAGCCTGGGAGACAGAGCAAAACTCCGTCTCTTTAAAAAAAAAAAAATTAAAACGCATAGAAAAGTAGACAGAGATAAAGCGAACCTCTGTGTACCCATTAAACAGCTTCATATGCTATCAACATATAGCTAATATGTAGTGGAGTAAAGAAAAAAACACGAAAACATATGGCTAATATGGTTTCATCCATATGCCCTCATTTCTCCCTTCCCCCATGTTGTTTAGTTGAAGCAAATCCTGGCTATCCATAATTTTAGTAATAAATACTTGAATATATCTCTGAAAGAGGATTCTTTTTAAAAAATGTAATTACAATACCTTTATCACACCTAAAAAGATGAATCATAAATCCTTCATTTCATCAAATATCTGGCATTCAGATATTCCTGATTGTGTCATAAATATTTCTTTAATGATTGGCTTTTTCGAAACTGGATCTAGACATCGTAGTCCACATATTGTATTTGGTTGATGTGTCTCTTAAGTCTCTTAATCAGTAAGTTAAGAGACTCCTGTTTTCCCCTTTTCTTGCCATTTATTTTAATTACTGTTTTTTATTTTTATCTTTATTTTTTCATTTTATTTGAGATGGAGTTTCGCTCTTGTCGCCCAGGCTGGAGTACAATGGCGTGATCTTGGCTCACTGCAACCTCCACCTCCCGGATTCAAGTGGTTCTCCTGCCTCAACCTCCCGAGTAACTGGGATTACAGGCACCCGCCACCACGCCTGGCTAATTTTTTATATTTTTAGTAGAGATGGGGTTTCACCATGTTGGCCAGGTTGGTCTTGAACTCCTGACCTCAGGTGATTCACCTGCCTCAGCCTCCCAAAGTGCTGGGATTACATGCATGAGCCACCATGTCTGGCCATTCTCACTTTTATTAAAGAAACAAAGTCTTTTGGAATTTCCCACCTGCTGGGTTTAACTGGTTATATTCTTGAGGCATAATTTAATGTATTCCTCTATCCCTGTATTTCTTGGAAACTGGTAGCTCTAGAAGCTTATCAGATTTAAGTTCAGTTGTTTGGCAAGAATACTTCCTAAGTGGTCTAGAGTACTTCTTACTGCATTATATTAGGAGGTTAATGACATCTGTTTGGGTTTCCCTGTTTTCATGATGTGAATTCAGATTGGTCACTGGGCTCAGCAGTTGTCAGTCTGGCTCATCCACCATAAAAGTCCCCATCAGCCTTTTGCATAAGGTTTTGCTACCATTGATGAGCATTACCTTTCATTAGGGAAGAGGATATATTTAATATAACCAAAAGTTGGTTCTGTCATATAAATTGTTTTATATTAGTGTCATTTTGTATTTATTAACGTAAGTTTTTTGTTGCTGTTTTAATCACCTTTAGTGGGAGCCAAGAGAAATAATGTTTAGGAAGAGTGTCTTGTAAACCATGAAAATCTATGTAAATATTATTAAACAGGGAGCTTTTTAAAATATAAATTTATGGGGAATTTTTTCCAATAAAAATTATAAATTTTTGTCTCAATAGACTCTCAAAAGGATTTGGAAAATAATCCATCAATAAATTCTCAGGCGCAGGAGACCACAATCATGGCAAGTAATGCTGAGGAAGCTCAGACCCTACACTCTGCCTGTGGTCTTAGCAAAGACCACCAAAGGGTGGAGACAGTGGGTCCGGAAAGTGCAGATACAGGTGATAAATCCGAAAGTCCAGATGAAGCAAATGTGGGGAAACATCCAAAGGATAAAATAGAAGATGAGAACAACCAGAGTTTTCTGGATGGTGAAAAAGGGCATCACCTCCCTTCAGAAAATCTGGGTGAAGAACCCTTGGATCCAGATCCCAGCCCTTCTCCAAGTGACAAGGTAGGAAGAGCAGATGCACACTTAGGGAGCAGCTCTGTGGCCCTCCCTAATGAAGCAAGTGACGGAACTGGAGCATCTCAGGAACCACCTACAACAGACTCCCAGGAGGCCCAGAGTCCTGGTCATTCCATTACAGGGCAAGAGGGCGAGGATACACTGAGGAGGCGACTGCTGGCCCCAGGTAAGAGAACCCCTGAACTACTCTCCTGTTTTGTATTGCTCTGTTAACTGAGAAAACAGCAGAAGTCAGAGGCCGTCTTTCCAGAGAACTTTTGTCTATCTTTCATAGGATTAAGGCCTTTGGGCCTTGCCCAGGCTCACACAGAGCCAGATGACTGAGTTGATTTTAGAATGAGTTTTCTCATCTAGGCTAGCTCATTCCACTGTATTAAGTTGCTTCCTACACATAAACTGCATTTCTAAGCAATGTTTTTATTAACTGTTTATATTGATGTGATATGACAAAAAGGGGCATGACTTTTAAAAAATTCGCTTCTAGTTTTTTATTTCTTATGAGAATATTTTGACATAATTTTAAAAATCTTTTACTTTTTGGTAAACTAACTGTTACATAAATCAAGACATTGGTATAGTTAAAAATGAGCATTAATGGGACAGTGTCCTTAACTCAGTCATGTTTCAGTTTTATAGGACTTTGAGTAAGTCAGTTAGTTTCTCTATACCTGGTTTTTTCTGCCTATATGTTAAGAGGAACGAGCATGTCTTCCCTGATGAAGGTAAGCGTTGCAGGGTGCTAAATCCTTAACGGGAACTCAAGAGGTGTGAATTCTGGTTGTGGCCCTACCACTTGCTAACTTGGGTGACCTTGGGAAAGTCTCTTCCCTTCCTGGTGCTTCAATTTCCTATTTGTAAAATGAAGAAGTTGGATAAGATGATATCCAGGGATTCTTCTAGGTGTCACCTTCTGTGATTGTGTGTGGATTTGTATTTTATAAGCGCTCTGAAGAGCTCAGTCTGAAATGCCCATTTGCCAGTGCAAAAGAATATAAAATATAAGACACTCTGTTCATCAGGGACTTCAGCAAGGGCTAGTAATTCATGTTTCACTGCAAATCAATAACTAATCTCAAATATATGTTTTATTTATTAATCATCAGAATAATCTGTAACTTCAGTGAAGGCAAGGACTGTGTCCCTGTCATTCATTGTGTATCTCTGGCACCTGGCACATAGAAACACCTTTATAAATTTTGTCAAATGAATGAATGTGATTTGTATGGACCATGACCTGTGTCAGAATTTCACTGTTATGAGCTAGGTGCAATTACTTATGCCTCTAGTCCCAGTTACTTGGGAAGCTGAGTTGGAAGGATTGCTTGAGCCCAGGAGTTTGAGCCTGCAGTGTGCTGTGATCACCCCTGTGAATAGCCACTGCATTCTAGCTAGCCTGGGCAATGTAGTGAGACCCCATCTCTTTAAAAAAATTCACTGTTAGGCAGGTTCACTGTGAGTAGAAAAAAATATTGTTTAAAAAAATCCAGTTTAGGCCAAGAGCAGTGGCTCACTCCTGTGATCCTAGCACTTTGGGAGGCCAAGGCTGGTGGATCACTTGAGGCTAGGAGTTCAAGACCAGCCTGGGCAAAATGACAAAAACCCATGTCTCCAGTAAACACAAAAACAGCTGCGTGCACTTGTAGTCCTCAGGAGGCTGAGGTGGGAGGATTGCTTGAGCCCGGGAGGTTGAAGCTGTGGTGAGCCGAAATTTCACCACCACACTGCAGCCTTGGTGACAGAGTGAGACCCTGTCTTTTAAAACAAAAATGCAGTTTATGTATGGCAAGCAACTTACTATAGTTGAATGAAGTTATCTGTACTCTAAGAGATGAGAAATCTTGTTTTCATCTCAACTTAGCTACATCTCCTTATGTGACCTTGGGTAAGATCTTCCCTGTACCTTTTTTCATGATAGGTTAAGTAGTGCAGCCGGGGTATGTGTCCATTATAGATCCTTTCAGTTCTGAAATTCCATGATATGATATTTTAAGAACCTACTTTTTGGGGTGATATGAGCAATCCTTTATAAGTGAAGATGATCCTACTTATCTATGCTAATAGAAGTACCTGGCTGGGGTTAAGCACAAATTTAGAGTCTAGTGTGATTTAGCTTAGAGTGCTAAAAATTGTTGCCCATCTTTTCACCCACATATTTTAAGCTTGGCATGCCCACCCTACACCTGGATTTTTACATATTTTGTGAATTTTCTTCACCTTATATTCCTTGCTTTGTATATCTCCTTCACTAAGAGTTTCAAATTTGCTTTTATAAGCTGTTTTGCAACTGTACAGTAATCTCTCCTATCTCAGAACTTAGTGCTTCTGTTATTTTTATATTTGGGGTCTTGAGGGACCATGTGAAACTCGAACACTGGAATTAGAGCACAATTACCCTGTGAAGTTGAATCTCGTGTATAGCCAACATTTCTTAAATCCCTTCTTAATTTTATACATTTTGCTGAATCACATTTTAGGTAAGTTTGGCCGCAGTATTTAAATGTCTTTGTCTTTGATATAAGAGGCAGTGAGGAATTGTGAATATAGCAACATTATCCTTGAATGAATTTCACAGCATTTCATTTTATTCTTCTAAGTAAAATAAGAGTAATAGTCTTAAAGAAAAGACAGGAAAAATGTTAACTTTGGTTTTTTTTGAGGTGGAGTCTTGCTCTGTCCCCCAGACTGGAGTGCAGTGGTGTGATGTCGGCTCACTGCAACCTTTGCCTCCCGGATTCAAGCGATTCTCCTGCCTCAGCCTCCCGCGTAGCTGGGATTACAGGCACCCACCATCATGCCTGGATAATTTTTGTATTTTTAGTAGAGAAGGGGTTTCACCTTTTTGGCCAGACTGGTCTCGAACTTCTGACCCCAAGTGAGCCACCTGCCTCAGCCTCGCAAAGTGCTGGGATTATAGGCGCGAGCCACCGTACCTGGCTAAGGTACAGAAATCCTTTTAGTCAAATCATTGTTTGGTTTGGTGAGAGATATAAAGGTATACATACTGTCATTAGTGTACTGCCTAAAAATAATATTGATTCTTTTCCTCTCCAGAGGCTGGAAGTCATCCACAACAAACACAAAAATTGGAAGAAATTAAAGAGAATGCACAGGACACCATGAGACAGATTAATAAAAAGGGTTTTTGGAGCTATGGTGAGAACAAACCTGGTTTTACTGCAGTGTTGATTCACATTCAGAAATCCTCAGTGAAAATGCCTAGAAAACTAGCAGATTTAAACAGTTTTAACATTGTGTTTACATACACTTATTTAATGATTGGTAGTAAGTCATAGTAAAATAGAAAAATAGAGTTTTAGGGATTTTTCCCTTAAGGGTACTGGCTGATATTTTGCTGTGATTAACAAAATGGAATTTCTCACAGTAGGAAAAGCTTTTCCTAAATAAGAAACAAAAACTGCCTTTCTAATTAGAGAATATTAAATTTTCAAGTGCATTTTAAAGTTATGACTCCTAAAAAAAAATGGTCAGCTATAGGTAGTAGGTGCTTTGAGAAGATGGAAGAAAATCTTGATCACTTATGTCTAAATTACATCATTAGTTATAACAACAAATACATAGACTCAGCTTTTACCTTTTATTTATTTAAATTTTTTACTGAGTACTTAACTCTTCCATGAAGGTTTTGTCTTTCAACAAAGATATCTTCAAATAATTAAATCTGAGAAGAGATTAGAGAAGAGGTACTTCTGGTGGATTAAAAGTTTAAACAATTTATGCAAAAGAAACTTATTGCTCCTAGTAAAACCTGATGGTATTTCTGCCTCATTTTAGTTTACCATAGGCTTTGTTTCTGGCTTGTGTTCTCTGTAATTTTCTGTTTTCTCATTCTTTTGACAGGCCCTATCTTTCTTCTCTTCCTGGTTGTGGCTGTTGTGGCAAGTTCTGTGAATAGCTACTATTCCTCTCCAGCCCAGCAAGTGCCCAAAAATCCAGCTTTGGAGGCCTTTTTGGCCCAGTTTAGCCAATTGAAAGATAAATTTCCAGGCCAGAGTTCCTTCCTGTGGCAGAGAGGACGGAAGTTTCTCCAGAAGCACCTCAATGCTTCCAACCCCACTGAGCCAGCCACCATCATATTTACAGCAGCTCAGGAGGGAAGAGAGACCCTGAAGTGCCTGAGCCACCATGTTGCAGATGCCTACACCTCTTCCCAGAAAGTCTCTGCCATTCAGATTGATGGGGCTGGAAGGACCTGGCAGGACAGTGACACGGTCAAGCTGTTGGTTGACCTGGAGCTGAGCTATGGGTTTGAGAATGGCCAGAAGGCTGCTGTGGTACACCACTTCGAATCCTTTCCTGCCGGCTCCACTTTAATCTTCTACAAGTATTGTGATCATGAGAATGCTGCCTTTAAAGATGTGGCCCTGGTCCTGACTGTTCTGCTAGAGGAGGAAACATTAGAAGCAAGTGTAGGCCCAAGGGAAACTGAAGAAAAAGTGAGAGACTTACTCTGGGCCAAGTTTACCAACTCTGACACTCCCAGCTCCTTCAACCACATGGACTCAGACAAGTTGAGTGGGCTGTGGAGCCGAATTTCACACCTGGTACTGCCAGTCCAGCCAGTGAGGAGCATTGAAGAACAGGGGTGCCTTTTCTAAAGCTAAGCACAAAGTTGGTTATAGAAGGTGTATGTTTATGAAAAAGTTTGTTTAAAGGCCTTTCATTTACATGGAAGGAGGTTGATAAAATAGGTTGAGGAAATAGCCTGAAAAACAAAAATGAGCTTATTTTAGAAACAAGTTTTTATTTTTTACTTCTTGTAAAATCTTTCTAATCTAAGCCTTGACAAAACTAAAAATTAACCGACTTTTTTTCTTTGCCTTTTGGACCAAATCAGGTTTGAAGTATGGATGATATATATGAGAATTTTTTTAAAATTCTAAAATATAGCAACATTGCACAGGAAGATACTCTTACTTCTTAGAGTAACTACAGAGTGATTTTTTTTTCTTGAGTGAGACTCTGAAGAGCCTTTTGGATGCTGTTTGGACTTGGATGAAAGCAATTAGAATTATGAAGCAATGATCACTTTTAGAAAATTTTTCTATCACATGTTGAATATTTTCAAAACCTCACTTTAATAATCTAAAGTTATGGGATTATATCTTATATTAATTTTACAGTTTTGAGTAGTATGATAAAAGAAATAAGAATTCAAACCATTAAGTACCTACCTGTACTACATGTAAGGCACTGTGCTTTTATTCCATTCAGCTGAGGTATAAGTGTACCTCAGTACAGAATAAGCAGCTGTACTCAAACATTCTTAAAAATGAGAACCAATGGGGAAATTGTTTATAATCATTGGAAATGAAGAAATTCCAATTGGCTATATCTTTACTTCAGCTTTTCTTGAATGATTTACAGCAGTGATTTTCAAACTGTGTCTACTGGCACCCTTCCCCTTTGTATCAGAGCAGTTCTGCTTTTAACTGTTTTATATGTCAGGCTCTATGAGATTTCATTGGAACAAAGAGTTTCACTGATACTCAAGTTTGAAAACCATTAAGTGAAAAAACATCTTAGAAGATAGGAAATATGTAAAAAAATTGAATGTATTAAATCTTATGAGTAGGAAGATGAAATACAGGTTTATCATATAGCTATATTGTTTATGAACACTAAAGATCTATACATGAACAGCAGAATGTATAAGCTAGCATTTACTAGCATGTCTCTGATGCTTTTGTTCATTTCTGTTAGTCATCATTTTTGTCCCCTCTGCATGGAATTTTATACTTGTCTAGGGTGAGAGTTTGTAGACTTTCAGCAGAACATATTTTAATAACCAATTTATTTGTTTTATTTTAAAAAATTATTTTTGAATAACCAATTTAATAGTAAATTTTATATGAACACTTGGCATAACTTTACCAAACAGTTTATTTCTATGCAGTGATGGAACATTATGTAATACAGCTCATTTCTTGACCACCTAGTTATAGAAGTACCATTAAGTTAAAAATTAGAGAAATCCAAGAGATGTTATACTTAATGAGAGGAAGCAGAAATGGTGGGTAGATTCTCAGAGGTTTTGATGTTCAGTACTGACTGTTGGACCATGTTCTGTGATTGTAAGAAATATTGAAAACAGTTTGTATGGAGACAGTAGGTGATTAGCATTTGAGCTCTCAAAGCAGAACTCTAGTAAAATGATCTCGACCTAACAAAGGGTCTGTTCTATTATATAGACTATTCCCATAATCCTGGAATGTTTCAACTAGGTTTTGGCCTCTCCATTATATGAGCTCATATGTATATATTTAAGAAGTCTGATTAAAGTATGGAAAGATTTTAGGAAACTCTAAGACAATACAGGGATCTTTATTGATACCTAAAAAGATTACAATTGAGTAATTGCTTAATTGAGTGTAGGGGCATACCTGAAGGAAGAATTTGCATTTGGGACTTTGAAGGAATCTTCCAAGAGATTTGGGAAAAGACCTGAACAAAAAGTTAAAGCATAGTGAATGTAATATAAATGTCAATCCAGTATAAAAGCAGAGGAAACGAAGGAAAATCTATATACCATATGCACATTTTTTCTGTCTTTTTAGATCTTAGATGCTAACATTACATCCACAAAACCAGTGTTGCCTTGTACAACTATTATATTGGCCTGCTGACCTGTGCTACCTCAGATCTGTAAAGGAACCAGTATGACGCATATTCTTGTTTCGTCATTCGGTCGAATCTGGTTTTTCATCATTTCCTTTCAAAATAATTTAGAAAAATAAATTTCTAAAGTCACAATGGCTTTTATTTAGCCTTTTTAAAAACACTTTTCCTTCCATGTGTAGTGCAATCAATTGAGAGTGTTGTCAGTTTTCTGTCCACTATTTCAAAAGTCGTTTTTTTTTGAGATGGAGTCTCACTCTGACTCCCAGGCTGGAGTGCAGTGGCTTGATTGTAGCTCACTGTAGCTTTAAACTCCTGGGCTCAAGCAATCCTCCCACCTTAGCCTCCTGAGTAGCTGGGACTACAAGTGCATACTACCACACCACTCTACCACTCTGTTTTGTATAGAGACAGGGTCTCACTGTGTTGCCCAGGCTGGTCTTGAACTCCTGGCCTCAAGTGACCCTCCCACCTCGGCCTCCCAAAGTGTTTGGATTACAGATGTGACCCAATGCATCCAACCTCAAACTTTTTTTTTTTTTTTTTTAGAGAAGGTCTTGCTCTGTCACCCAGGCTGAAATGCAGTGGCGCAATTTCACCTCACTGTAACCTATGCCTCCTGGGTTCCAGTGATTCTTGTGCCTCAGCCTCCCGAGTAGCTGGGATTACAGGCACACACCACAATGCCCAGCTAATTTTTGTATTTTTATTAGAGACGAGGTTTTGCTGTGTTGTCCAGGCTGGTCTCGAACTCCTGGCCTCAATTGATCTGCCCACCTTGGCCTTTCAAAGTGCTAGGATTATAGACATGAGCCACCACACCTGGCCTCAAAAATCATTTTTAAAAGAAGCAGTATATTAGCTCTGGGTCTTCTCATTACTAAAATGACTTTTTAAACATGATACTATATTTTATAAATGTACAGATAATTCAAATCTATTATCTAATGTGTTCTCTTAGGTTAATTTCTATTTGTTTCTATTCTGTGTGTGTGTGTGTGTGTGTGTGTGTGTGTGTGTGTGTTGAGACGGAGTCTTGCTCTGTTGCCTAGGCTGGAGTGTAGTGGCGCGATCTCGGCTCACTGCAAGCTCCGCCTCCCGGGTTCACGCCATTCTCCTGCCTCAGCCTCCTGAGTAGCTGGGACTACAGGTGCCTGCCACGACATCTGGCTAATTTTTTGTGTGTGTGTTTTTAGTAGAGACAGGTTTTCACTGTGTTAGCCAGGATTTTCTCCATCTCCTGACCTTGTGATCCGCCCGCCTCAGCCTCCCAAAGTGCTGGGATTACAGGCGTGAGCCACCGTGCCTGGCCTATTCTTTACATTTTTTAAGGTTTCAGATTTTCTTTTGTGTGTCTAGTAATTCATCTTTTATTGTCATAGATAATTTGCTTATTTGACTTAGAAAAATGATTTGTAGGCATACAATATCGTACATGATACCTAAACATTGCCATTTAGTTACTCTCCTAGAACAACTTTCATTACGCTGTCTATTAATATAAATTACCTCTTGAGTAATCCCAGAATCATAGAACCAATGGTGGAATCAGAAACTGTCTTTGGACTTGAGGTTTTTCTTCCCTTAGGGTAAATTTTAGGTTTTCTGGTTAGTTTCCAGGGTTGGCAGAGAAGTTCATATCACTAAAGGGGTTCATATCACTAAAATAGTAATGCTAATTTGTTTCATATTTCTATTTTAAAAAGCAATAAAGAAATTTCAATGCATTTCATTTGAAGCCCCCAAGTTTATGGTGGTTAGTGAGGCTCAGCATGCCGGTAACCCACCATTCTCTCAGCTAATGACTCCACTAAATAGTGCTAGCCACTGAGATGGTTTTGACCTTTTAAACAACTTTTTTTTTTTTTTTTTTTTTTGAGACAGAGTTTCTCTCTTGTCCATGCTGGAATGCAATGGTGCGAACTTGGCTCACTGCAACCACCGCCTCCCAGGTTCAAGCCATTCTCCTGCCTCAGGCTCCCAAGTAGCTGGATCCCAAGTAGCTGGATGGCGTGTGCCATCACGCCCAGCTAATTTTTGTATTTTTGGTAGAGACAGGGTTTCCCCACGTTGGCCAGGCTGGTCTCGAACTCCTGACCTCAAGTGATCTACCTGCCTCGGCCTCCCAAAGTGCTGGGATTACAGGCGTGAGCCACCGCACCCAGCCTAAACAGCTTTTAATTACTTGATTTATACTTTATTAAAGACAGGAAGCACAATGACCAGTGATATTAAAATATAACAAATATAGCATGGGAAAGCGATAATTATTCAGATGATCCTCACCAGCACGGCATTTGTGTATATCTGTCCAAACTCTACGCCACATAGCAGGTCTCTGGCACTTCAAAAATGGATGTTAAATAGAAAATAATAAATAATAGCTGATTAGGGTAATCATTTATTTAATCGGAATAAAGATGATATCCATAAAATTTACTTGCAGAGAAATACTTTGTTTTAAAGACAGGGTCTCACTCTGTCACCCAAGCTATGGTGCAGTTGGCACAATCACGGCTCCCTGCAGCCTGGACCTCCTGGCCTCAAGGGGTTGATCCTCCTACTTCAGGGATTACAGGCACACGCCACCATGCCTGGCTAGTTGAGAAGTACTTTCAAATAGCAACATGAAGCCTTTCTTTTATCATTTGAAAATAAAACATAGTTGTAAACATAAACCAGTATGTCTTTGTAAAGCCAGTAATATATCATTTTATAGGAGCATTGTCTTCTTGTGTTTTTCAAGTTGACTATGTAGTTCTATGTCAGTCTCCATTTTAATATCTCGTTTGTCAAGCTGAGCATATTTCATTTTGAAATGTAGTTATTGAGAAGTCATGGTGGTTTTTTGTTTTTCACAATTCAAGTAGCTTGAACACTCATCCAATGGGAAAGCTGATGCTTATCTTTGTGGCAAATGCTTGGTTGAATAATATATTTGCAAAGATGTTAATTCTAGAGAGAGCAAAATAAAGTTGAGATGTCTGTAGAACAGTTTCTCCAGATGACTTTAAGCCTTATTTTTGTAAATTTATGTTAAATTTTAGGTGTTAAGTTGTGAAATACCTAATGATATGGGCCTAAATTTGCCTCATTCGGACCAAGACGGGGCTGTTAAAATTCATTTCGAGCTAATAAACTGTGCTATAACTTCTTTGTATTATTATTATTATACTTTAAGTTCTAGGGTATATGTGCACAACGTGCAGGTTTGTTACATAGGTATACATGTGCCATGTTGGTTTGCTGCATCCATCAACCTGTCATCTACATTAGGTATTTCTCCTAATGCTGTCCCTCCCCCAGCAGGCCCCAGTGTGTGATGTTCCCTGCCCTGTGTCCAAGTATTTTCTTTGTGCAGTTCCCACTTGCGAGTGAGAACATGCCATGTTGGTGAACTGTGCTATAACCTCTGTATCTCTATAGGCCAATCCAAATGGCCTGAGAACACAATCAGTATCCCCTAATCTGCAAAGAGGTAACTACCTTAGTCTTCAGTACCTTTCCTTCCAGTATTATCTGTGTTATCTGTGTCCTCTTGCTTTGATGTCTTGAAAAGCCCATAAATTGGTGCTTATTTGGCAAATGGTCTCCTGCTTTTCCTCACTGAGGCTTATAAACTAAATTTGCCTTTGGCTAAGAGCAGTTACATGAACCAAAAAGAACATTTTAGACTTGGGAAGCAACAGGCTGAGTCACATTGCAAGGGGCAGAGTTGGCCAGGCCCCCAGGCAGTCACAGCCCTACTCCCTGTGTTCCTTCTAGGCCTAAGGACGCATCAACACAAAGCTCTGGGCAGTTCCTCCTGGTTCATCAGAGAGCACAAGAAATTTAAACCCATTTGCCTTTCCTGTCATAGAAGAAACAGCACATTGACTTTCAAACCCAATTGCATTTTGCTTATTTGTACTTAACAAATTTGGGCTTTGTCAGTATTAATGTCCCATTTCTTGGCACCCCCTTTCTTTATAACAGGGATTGCTTTTGTATTTGTTTGTTACAGGTGCTGATGAATGTGCCGTATTCAGATTAGTTGTCTGGTCATTACCAGAATAAAGAATAAATCTCCTCAATTTTTTTCAGTTGACTGATTCTTGATTAAACTTCCCAAAATAGCAGGTTTATAGAAATGGGCATGTGGTGATTAATGGTGGGAAAGGAAACTGCCCTCATATGGCAGTAAGATGAGAAGCTAGAGAATCCTGTGAGGGTTGTCAGGTGGCATTT